TAATTTTGAAATAGCTACCTGAATAATATTTTATTTTTTATATGTACAGTAGTTTATTCAAATAGTCCCCTACCATTGGATATTAAAAGTGTTTCTAATTATTTTTTACTTTACCTCATTTCACTAAATAAGACCTCCAGTGAAATGTTAAATAACAGTGATCATAGCTTGGACATCCTTATTTCATTACCAAACTTAAGGGATGAGATTTCAACAATATACCAGTAAGTCTGATATTTGCTATAGGTTCTTTATAGATACTCTTTATCTGATTAAAGAAGTTCCTTCTATTTCTAAGTTGTTGAGAGTTTTTAAGAATAAATGGAGATTCAATTTTATCAATGATATTTTTTCTATATCTCGCAAAGATATCATTTGGTATTTCTTCTTTTTCTGTTAAAATTGGAAATCAAGTAGACTTATTTTCAAATATTAAACAAATCTTGAATTTCTGCAATAAACTCTACTTGGTTTTTATGTAAAGAACCTTGGTGACACAGTGGTTAAACCACTCAGCTGCTTACCAAAAGGTCGACGGTTCGAACCCACCAGCAGCTCTGTGAGAGAAACATGTGGCAATCTGCTTCTCTAAAGATTTACAGCCTTGGAAACCCCATGGGGCAGTCCTACTCTGTCCTTTAGAGTTGCTATGAGTTGAATCAACTTGATGGCAACAGATCTGGTTTTGGTTTTCATGTGTTATTATTTTTATTGCTAGAGTCTATTTGCTATTAATTTGTTTATGATTTTTACATATATACATATATGCTTATGAGAAAGATTGGTCTGTAATTTTCCTTTCTTATAACTTCCCTTTTCTCATTCTTATTCTTGATCAAATTTGCTAGGTTTTATTAACTTTTTCAAAGAACCAGTATTTGTTGATATTTTGCTATTGAATATTGGTTTTCTATTTCAGTGATTTTTGCTTTAAATTTTATTACTTTCTTCCTTTTATTTATTTGATTTGCTCTTTTTTTTTCTACATTTTTGAGATGGAAACCTCAATCTTTGATTTTCAGTCTTCTTCCCTAATGTCATTAAGACTATGAATTTTCTCTAAGCCTGGCTTTAGTTGCATCCTATAAGTTTTGTATGCCTTATTTAGAGTTTCATTTAGTTTCCAATATTTTAAGATTTGTATTTTGATTTTTGACTCATGGATTACTTAGATGTGTATTGTTTAATTCCTTAGAAGTTGAGGACTTTCAAGTTATCTTTTTGTTATTGACTTCTAGCTTAATTTCAGTGTAGTCACGGAACAGACTCTAAATGATTTCAGTCCTTTTAAATGTGTTGAGGTTTTTGTATTTGACACAACTATGATCATATCTGATAAATATGTACTTGCAAAAAAAATTTTATCTTGTCGTTTGAGGTGCTATATTCCATTTATGTTACTTAGGTCAAATATATTAAATATGTAATTTAGATCTATAAATCTTAACTGACATTTTCATCTGCTTGTTCTATGAGAGAGAGTTATGCTAAGATTATGTTAAAGTTCCCCACTATCATCTATTTTGGAGACCTGGTGGTACAGAGGTTAAGATCTTGGCTGCAAATGAAAAAGTCAGCAGTTCAAATCCACCAGCTGCTCCTTGGAAGCCCCATGGGGCAGTTCTCCTCTATCCTATAGGATGGTTATGAGTGGGAATCAACTCAACAGCAACAGGTTTTTTTGTTTTGTTTTTTTTTAATGATTTATTTCTCCTTGTGATACTGTCAAGGACATGATGTTATTTTTTGGGGTGTATGCAGATTTAGGATTGTAATATCATCCTAGTGAATTGGCCTCTTTATCATTATAAACTTCCTTCTTTATTTCTCTTATACCCTTCCTTCAAGTCTACTTTGTCTAGTATTAGAATAGTACACCAGTTTTGTTTGGTTAGTGTGGTTTTAGAATAAATCTTTGTCCATCATTTCCCTTATTTTTCAGCAATTCTCTTGCAAGTAGTTTATGGTTTGTGTATGTGTTTTATCCTGTTTGATAATATTCAACTTTTAATTGTGAATTTCTTTCATTTATCTTTAAGTGATTATTGATGTGTTTGGCTTTATATCTATAACATCTACCATCTTACCAGTTAATAAAGTGTCATTCTTACTTTATTATCTGTTTACTAAAGGTTTTTTTTTTAATCAAGAGTAATTAGTAATTTCTGCAAGTGCCTTTATAACATCTAATATGGTGATTATATCTTTTTTCCTTCTTTGACTAATCGATATGTTACATGTTACTAAACTTTCCAAATGTGTACGTATAATTGAAAAATTTTTTCCACCCATCCAACTTATTTTGTAAAGTAGTTCTTTACTAGATTTTCTTCATCCTCCCTACTCATACCTTCTCTGCATGTCAGGAGTATTGATCTATTCATGGTTTATTTCTTTTATTGAATTAGTATTAGCAATAACAGTACTTACCCCATGAGGCTCTTGGGAGAATTTATTGATGTGAGATATGTAAGATACAGTGCCTGAAAAGATTGCATTTTCTGTATGTTTTTGTTTTTAATATAAAAAAAAATTACATCTAGCTTTGGATCAATAAAAATTATTTTTTTTTAAATAAGGTAGAAAATGGTTACCCTAGGGAATTACAAACATTTCTTTAAATATTAAATATGTAATAAATATGTAAATTTAAAGTTGAATCTGGATTATTTATTTTGAAGACAGAAGCTAAAAAATTTTTAACCCACTAGCATCAAATATTGATCATCTCTGTATTCTTATTTTGTTTTTGCTCCATGTAGAAGCTGAATTTTTTAATTGAGGAATGTAGACGATTCAGTTTTTATTTTTCCAAAAAGAAACAAGTTTATATTTGCATTTCTATAATTTGCTATTTCTAATAAACTTAAATGAGTACTCTCTAATTGTTCTATTGTTTTTCAGTCCTAAATATAATATTTTACATTTCTAATTGCATCTTAATACTGAAAACATTATATCTCACATTTTAGGAAGCTCTGTGTATTTTGCACAAGTTAAATTTTGAAGCAAAACTTCTAGCTTCTAGTGGAACAGCAAGGGCTTTGAAGTCAGGTCTGAGCAGATTCTAATGCTGGCTCTATCACTTGATAGCTGTATGATCTTTGGCCAAATGGTTCTTTCTGTAAAATAGGCAGAATAATACTACTTCAGATTTCTTTGAAGGTTAAACGGAACTTTAAACACTTACTGAATGCTGAGTCTATGGCATCCACTCTTCTGAACGTTTTATGTGAGCTAACGGTTAATCTGTATGACAATTTTATGCAGAATGCTCCATTGTTATCCCTGTTTTAGAGATGAAGAAAACTCAGGCTGAGAATTAAGCAACTACCCAAATTCATACAGCTGGCAGGTGACAGAACCAGAATGTAAATCCAGTCTGGTTCCAGAGTCCATGCTCACACTGCTATTGTTCCCCACGTAAGTAAGTCACCTGATTTGGTTCTTGACATCTTTTAGGCACTTAAATACTTATCCTTCTGCTTAGCATAAGTCATCAAGCTATTTTAAATATATTCAGGGTACTATTTCATAATAAGTTGATTACTCTGGTAAAATACACCACCACTTTGGTTAAGATAATGCAAAAACAAAGTATTTCCAACTAATAGGGGGTCAACAGATTTTTCGATTTCTTCTAAGTATAAATTTGTCTTATCCCTGAGTCTTTTTTTATTCCTGTTCTTGTATGGTTAAGTGCTTGGCTACTAACCAAATTGTTGGCAGTTCAACCCACCAGCAGCTCTGCAGAAGAAAGATCTGTCAGTCTGCTTCCATAAAGATTACAGCTTAGAAAACTCTATGGTGCAATTCTGCTCTGTCACATGGGGTAGCTATGAATTGGAATCAACTCAATGGCACCCAACAACAACATTCTTCATATTTAGAGGCATTGTTACAATACCATGATCATTTACTAATTTAGAATAAGGAGTTTGCTAATAGTATGCTAATCTGACATTCAAGTGTCAGAAGACCTTTGATGAGGTATGCATTGTAAACTGTGGAACAGGCTTATATGAGGGAGTTTAATTTTTGAATGACTGTGTTGAGAGCACATGATATGAACTTTTTAGAGTACTACTTTCCTAACAACAGAGGTTTGAGGGGGTGAGGTGTCAGGGCTTCCCCTTCATTCCATTCACCAAAACAGCTATAAGGAGGAGACTCTGTTGGAGGCAAAGGTCCCACTCAAGCCCATCCATCCCAGCTGAAGAGAGAGATGCTATCAGGGAGGAGGAAGACTGAGGAAAGAATAGGGAACTGGGCTGAGAAACAGCTGTTAGAAGGTGACAAATTGAAGGGATATGCTTTTTATACTCTACATTTTATGGCCAAAATTGTATGCTACAGTGTACTTCCCTGATTAAGAGATTTCCATAGTTTTGGAGAGGTAGCCTTCACAAATGTCAAGTATCTTCTGAAAAAAGGACAGAGTAAAAGGAAGAGAGAAATGCTACTTTGTTCTCTTTTCTTGTAAGTCAAATGCTGGAATTTAAAAGTAAATACGTTTTTTCAGCTTTTTACACAATAAATATCATAAAAATTGTGCTAAAAAATTCTGATGTCTGAATTAACAGAGAACAATTTGATATGATTTTCCCAATGGTTAACTTTATAGCTTTATATCAATACAGAGGACTGATTACTTTGGAACTGTGTGCGTAATTTTGGAGGGGCTAATTTTGAGAATTTAAGACAAGATCTGTATATAAGTAGGCCCTAAAAGAAAGAATTACTAAAGAGAAAAGGTGAAATCATATTAAAATTACATTAAATTTTGACAACAATACCAAGGCAATTTTGTTAGCATGGATTTATCTAAAAATGTATGTCCCAAAATTTGGCATAGGAAAAAATGTGCTAACACAAACTCTGTGTACATAAACAAATCACACACACACACACACTCAAATGCACACACATGTACAGACAAGTACAGAAACTTCTGACATTTTCTCTTTTGTAAGAATCACGTGATTATTCTCTTTTTCCAGGTGGTATTTTTGAGTATGTGGAATCTGGCCCCATGGGAGCTGAGGAGCTCGCATTCAGGTTTGCTGTGAACACAATCAACAGAAACAGAACTTTGTTGCCCAATACTACCCTAACCTATGACACTCAGAAGATAAATCTCTATGACAGTTTTGAAGCATCGAAGAAAGGTAATTAATAGATATTTAACATAATGTTTTGTTGAATTCAAATTTCCATGTATTCTTATCAATTTTTTAATTCCAACATGTGGTTAATAAGTTGTTAGGAATATTTTAATGTAAAAGTTTAATAACCCACCTAAGTTTTATCAGCGATGGTAAAATGATACAATTTTCTGCTGCAAAAAACTTCTTATAGCATGAAATGCAATTAGATCGATGCTAAGAAATTTTTTTACATCAATCCGTCTATCTTATTACTAACATATTCCTATTTTCAAGAATCAAATAAAATAAAGCAATAACGATCAGTGAATTTTAACAAGTTTTTAAATCTATTCTTAAATTTTTATTTGCATGATCTTTCAATCCCACTCTATTATTACCATGCTTTTAATTTGCTTACTCTACTTTGAAAGTTCTGTGGTTCTAAGTGATTTAAAAAAGTCAGCTCAACCTTATTAAAACCTTATAGGAAAATTTTAAGCAACATTTATTTTATGTATACTCCATGTCCACTTTTTTTTTAACCACTTAATGTTTGTTGGACCTGAAAATAAATATGAAATGAAATAAAAGTTGGATTATATAAGTAAATAATTAAAATGCTTTCTAAATTTTATTACTATTATGTTGTAAAATTATGTTTTAAATGATAAGTTAGGAAAATAATTTGTGTTGTACGAATTTAATATTTATACGTGAAAGAAGGAAATACAGATACTATTACCGTGCTATTGTTTTAACCAAAACAACAGGTCTTAGTAATAAATGTATTTGACAGATGTTTCCATAGTCACATTTAATCTAAATAGGTGATTTTTTCTTTTACCTAGTTAGCGTTCATGTAACAGAAATTAAATTTCATAATATAAGATTTTCTTAAAGGAATAGGCTTGCAAAGCCATTTGTTTTAACTTAATATTTTTAAAGGATGTTTGCCTTTCTGTAAGGTTAATATTGTTTTTCTTACTACCTTACAGTGATGAAAATTTACATAATTATTTATCATTCCACCTTGGTACAGATTTCTTCTAAGCTAATTAATATTAATGGAAGCTGATGAGGTACAATATTTTTTTAGATGAAATTTCCTTCTTTACCCCTAGCTAGCTAGTGTTTATCAAAATCTACATTCTGCCTGTCCTTTGAATTAATATCTTTATGAATGCAAATAAGTTTCCACATTTCGGAACCATGTCAGGGTGATGAAAGTTTTTAAGGCTGAAAAAAAGGTTAAAGTTTATTGCAAAATACTACATTTGTCATCATAATTGCAAAATAAGACATTAACTGCAAGACAAGTGCATTTGATTAGTTACATAATTTGTGATTATTTCCATTAGAAAGAAGAAGCTCTGCCTCAAATGAAAGCATTTAGACCAAAGAATATGGAATATAAATGCAGTATAGATAAAATATTAATAGATTTCTTAATGGTGCCTTCAAAGGGGCAACCTAAAAAACAGACTAAAATGTTCCAGCAACGGACAGGTTACTATCTTGGGAATACCCTAGCAAAATTATGAAGTGATAAAGTCATCTGCCTCCCAAAATATTAAAAGAACTTACAAGCTTTATCACCTATTAAAAAACTCATTAAGAATCAAATCTATCAATCGACTTTGGCTTGAAGCTAGGAAGAGCTCGAATAATTGCATGAGTAACTTTTTCTTTGAAATTTTGAAAGGGTGAATCCCATGGTTTGGATGTCATCCTGAGAAGTTCTTTGTTGTTGAGCTATTATTGCTTGGAGGACGCAGTGATATGTCAAAGAATAATACAAGGGAGAGATCCAATATAGTTTTTAAAATTTGTGGGGGCTCAATAAATATATATTGATAAATATATTAATGACTAATTATAAAATTATCTAAATGTTCAGTTGGGCATTTGTAACATTTTTTAAAATTATTTTTCACAGGCAAGGGATAAGAGAAATTTCTAAATGTTAATGCTTTCTCTGATATTTGGTGTTGTACTTTTAATTAGTAATACTGGTTTGCTCAATTAATGAATTCTTTGATGTATTGAAGTTTGATTTATTATTTGAATCATACTTTGCTTTTAAATGAGACCTCTGATAAATCAAAATTCTAATTCTTATTTCAAACACACTTAGGAACATTCTAAATAGCCAACCTAATGTAATGTTTTAAACTTTTCTTGGTTTGTGTTTTGTCAAAAACCTCAATGTATGTTGAGTAAAAACATTTAGGCTTTAAAAATAATATATTCAGTCACTGTAATTCAATGTTGTATATAGAAGATTTCTTAAAAACAAGCAAATAAGCAAGCAAACAGCTTTCCATAATTGACCTATATTTGCTCATTATAGTTTGAAATGACTTTTGGACTTAATTATGCTTTTCTGCTGATTCAGAATTCTAATCCTTATTTGAAAAATTAGAATATATATATTTAAAAATAATTATTTAGATTATATTGAACTTTGAAGAAAGTTCAAACAATGGGTTATTGCCACTAAATTTTACTCAAGTATTAAATAACTCAGTAGTTAACAAATCATCCATCACATTGTGTTTTAGGCAGAAAATTCTCTCAGGAAAAATTCTAGAGAATTTCACACAGTAGGACCATAAACTATCCATTTTGGAGGAAGTTAAGTCTGAACACCCAATTGATGCCTAAATACTGATAACAGCCCTCTTCAGTTTTGTTTAAATATTTTCGGGGATGGACAAACCATTGCCTCTTGGAGTAGACTATTTTAATTTTGGACATTTTCTGCTTCCCATTAGATATTTTTAAAATATATGCTTACATTGGGTCAAAATCTGTAAAAAGCTTCAAACCACTTTTCCTAATTCTTGCTTTGGCAGTCAAATGAAAGAAGCTTAAGACTCTTTCACAGGCCAGGTTCTTCAAACATTTAAAGATAATTTTCATGTTTCTCACAATTATTTCCTTTTCTAGGCCAGAATACGCTAGTTATTTCAGTGTATTTAATGGAGTTTCGGGTCCTGTCACATTTCACCCATTCTGATCTGAATATGCTCTAGTTAGTTTATACATTTCTTAACTACTATGATTATTATTGATGTTTATAAAATTTCCTATGAATAAATACAAAGTTTAAAAAAAATTAAGAATAATGTAAAAGACTTACAGCATCCAGAAGTCAAATAAAGAGGATTGAATGCTTATCCGATGATTTCAGTGCCTTTTCTACTTGCTGAGATTAATCCATATGGAATCACTCTCTATGAATCATATCTGAATTTGTATGAGTGAATGTATGCACATCTTGACCTGTATCATATGTGAGAGTATTTAACTCTGTGCTACCATAGCTTTTTGAGTGGCTAGTGGGGAGTAAATAACTTCAGATTAAGAATTTGAAATTATAAAGGATGGCCAATGAATTTGGGAAGTAACACCATTCCTCTACCTCCCTGACTTGCACTATTTTTTCCAAAATAAACACCCTGCATAAATTTTTGAGAAATGCTTCTCCTCTCTCTCCCTCTCTCCCTCTCCTTGGCATTATTTATATAATTATTTTAAAATTGAGCTGCAGGTGTCTGGGTGAACTAATTCCCCTTGTTACAGACTAAAATTGTTCAGAATCAGACAGATATTAGTGAAGTAGATGTTAAATTAAAAAAAAAACAAAAACAAAAGCAAATCTTTCTTCAGGATACCACCTTTGGGGTTACATTAATAATGCGGTATCTGTTGGCACACTGGTTTCTCTCCTCTCATTATTGACAGACTTCTATCTCCTCTTCAGCCTGTGATCAGCTATCTCTTGGGGTGGCTGCCATCTTCGGGCCATCACACAGCTCATCTGCAAACGCAGTGCAGTCCATCTGTAATGCCCTGGGGGTTCCCCACATACAGACGCGCTGGAAGCACCAGGTGTCAGACAACAAAGATTCCTTCTATGTCAGTCTCTACCCAGACTTCTCTTCACTCAGCCGTGCCATTTTGGACCTAGTGCAGTTTTTCAAGTGGAAAACCGTCACAGTGGTATATGATGACAGCACTGGTAAGAAAAATCAGTAGCCTTTGGGGCTATGCTATATTCTGGTTTTGTTTTGTCTTTAAACAAAGTTATAGGATGGAAAGACATTTGGTACCAAATACCAACACTCATTTCACACATTCAAAGAACAACTGACTCATAAACTTTTTTCTCTATATTTGTAAAATGACTACATTTTAATCTGAAGGATCATTTATTTTGAACTATAATATTGGGTGAAGGACAGAAATAGTATTAAGTATTGTATTGAAACATTTATTGGAAGAATTTTTCCTCTAACTTAAGATGAGTTTCCCTAAGCAAAACCTGATAATTGGTTGACAGTGAAACTTATCAAGAAAGAACAGAATTTTACTTTAATAGTTTCTTTAGCTGTTTATATGCAAAAAGAATTATAAGTAATAAACCTTATAACTGTACAAGATGCTAATGTTTGAAAAGCTTATTCTCAAATGGGGAACATTATGATATTCTTTGAAATATGCTGAGATTCTGGAGCTGCTTATGTGTAGACACAGTTTAGAGACTTGGGAAATAGAATTTACTAAGTGATATTTGCTTTGGAGTCTTAAATGAATATTATTATGATTATTTGCTGTCTAGAGGTTCCATGTGCTTCCTTGTTTTAATGTTTATTATTATTTTTATATATGAATGGTAATCTTGAGGTATCAATGGAAAACAAGTCTCATATCGATATGGAAGTAAACTGTAAAAATAAAGTTTTAATTTTCCTTAGAAGCTATATTTGTGAAAGGAGTGCATGCCGTTTTGGTGATTATATAGTAAGTGATTTCACATTAAGATCTATATAGTGTTCTTTAAATTAGAATGTAAAAAGATTTTTTTTTTCTTGGCCATTTCACTCTACCTTCATATTCATATTGAGATTGAAATTCGTTTGAATTTGAATTCTTCTAAAGTAACCAGGAGCACACTTTGTTCCTGAATGCAGTGTATGGAATTATGTGCAGAAATTAGTTGATTTGCCAAAAAAAAAAACCATCTGCAAATTGATATAGGAACTTCTCCCAGGAGAATAGACAATAGGGAGTTACAGAGTTGGAAAAATAATGAAACTAATTTGAAAACATTTTCATTGGGATAAGGAAGAGTGAGTTTAAATATAAATTAGTAAGAGTAATTTTGCTTTTCTCATAAAAATATAAAATTTTTATAAATTTAACCTAGAATTACATTAATAAAAGTCCTTAGAAATAGCTTAAATACCTTTGATGTGTCTTTAAGCTCAAATTAGAACTATTAAATTTATGCTGTTATGTTTTAATTCCCTAATCATTATTTTTCTGTCAATGGTAAAGTCCTATATGCCAATATTTGAATGGCAGGTTGTATGTGAATGGTGTCCCTGGACTTGTATAATGTGATGGCACAGGTATATTTATTTACAAATTGGTCCATTTATATTTATGGATGACAATATACAGAAGTATATAAATATAGATACACATGCATTGTGAATCAACGGATTATTTACTTCTCCATTCTCTCCTGATACAGTTCAGGTGAATATTACCCAAATATCATATATTCTCAAATATATAAATTTTATATATAAATATCATATATATATATGGGTATGGGCGTATATATATGTATGTATATGTATCTAAATCTATATGTATATGTTGTACATGTGATATTTTGTATTTACTTCTGATTATTTTAAAACTGCTAATGGTAGCAAGAATATTGGTAAATGCTCAAAATGTTTATGGATATACCACCTTTCTTCACTATTCTGTGTGTTTGTGTGTGACATTTTTACTTACTTCATACATGTGTTTTATGAGTGCTTGAATAAAGAGATAATGGGATTTGTGATCAAGGTTATATCACAGTTTGGTAAAGTAAAGCTACATATGTAATTGATCTATCCCTGATTTAAATTATATTTTAAACATTTATATAATCAAAGAAGATTTAAATAGAGAAATATATATATGGTTACTTGTTAGAGTTGTATACTTTTAATGGAGTCCTGACTTCAGGTGAAATTTATTAAAATAGTTGGAGTTAATATATCTTTGCCACTCCCATTGGTTTGAAGGTGACATAAATGCTTTTATAAGGTCTGATGATCTGCTTCCAAAAGGTCACAGCCTTGAAACCCTGTGGAGCAGTTCTGCTCTGCACACATGGGGTCACCATGAGTCAGAATTGACTCGACAGCAACTAACAACAGTGCCAACTGAGAATGGTTACAGAATTATTTGTAGGATAAGTATGCCTTAAAAAAAGTCTTATGATGAAAAAGCTTATTAGTGTCCTATTGTATGCAGTGTTTAATGCAACAAATATTGAATTGAGCACATGCTACATGCCAGGAACAGTTACAGGTGTGAGCATATGCCTGTGAAGGAACAAAGTCCTAGCCCTTGTTCAGTGTCTTGTGCCTATTTAGGAGTATGTGATTGTTCATGTTTTCAGTATTATTTGTAATAGACTGATTGCATTTGTAACAGACCACTTGTAGTCCCTTTTAATTTAAACTGCTTTTGAGAACTTAGGTGTTCTTGAAATGTTATATGATTCTGACAGAACTGACTCAAAGATAGGCAGAATAGTCCCTTTGAAATGTATTCATAAATATATAAAAATAAGGTTTTTCCCATCTTTTTGGATCTGTTTAAAAGTCTCCAGGTGGAATTTTAATGATAGAATAAAACAGAGGATATTTATAAACTTTTCCAATTTTGAATTATTGGCAAAGTTAAACTAAAAATTAAAACTTTGGAATCTGAATAAACACAGTATAGATATAAATTAAGTAAGCTTATAGGAAGAAGGAGTGCTGAGTATGATATTTATTCAGGAAATAACTTGCATTCAGAGCTTTTCCCTTCTTCTTCTGTTTATAAGATAGTATTTAAGAGATCATTGGACACTGAGCTTAAGTGAACAAATGACTATTTGATGATACGAGAGGAAATCTGATTATAGCTAGGCCTGTGAACTGAAATAGAGAAAACACCATCTCATACTCAACAAGATAAATATTATTGACTCCATTCCCAACCTGTGTATCTGCTGCTTACTGCAGGAAACACATGTGCCATTTTTCGTACATGCTTCCTTTTTCCCTTTCCAGATTTATTTGTTATGTATGCTATTCCTCCCATTTATATTCATTTATATTTTGTTGTGTTGTCCAGTTTGGTACTTGATAATTATACTTTCCTCTAGTCTTTGTTACTACTCCTAAACAGATGGGATGATAGATGACATATAGTGCTGGAGTAGGAGAAATTCTTAGAATGATGTTAACGGAGCTGTTTATTTTTTTATGATAATTAGCATTTGTTATCATCATGGATGAATGCTTTTAACACCCTGAAAGTCTGTTATAACTCTGAATGATGTCCAAAAATGATCGAAAAGAATTGGCTCCAGATACAAAGCTGTGTTTCTGTCAGTCACTTTGGAACATATGATTCATTTTAAATATAAACTAAAAATAAGTTGGATAGCTGTCAGCTTGTAAGCAATTCCAGGATAAATTGTGAATATTTGCTTTAAATTCTCTGTGTTTCATCTTTGTTTATAGATCAGCAGTCCATTAACAAAGAACTCTGGACTGGTAAACAGAAGCTTGAGATTCTGTTCCCAGTTTTGCTACTAACTTACTGGTGCAACTTAGAAAAAGAGAAGAAGTTAATAGAAATGATTACATAATTTTTTTTAATGAACTATAATTCACTAGGCATTGTGGTCGCTGTTATCACATATACTGTTTCATTAGTATTCCCAGCACTTCTGTGAGTCTCAAAGGTAACAGGTTATTGCCCCACCAGTCTTGCCTCCCCCAGTGACTGGCTCTTCTGCTCACCAGCAACTAAGACAGACACCCGAATATCTTCCTTGATTTCTTCCTTTTCTCGGCCCTACATTTAAGCTGTAATGATGGTCAGTCCTACGCTTCTATGATCTCTTGAATCTCTTCCTTCCTTTCATACTTTCTACTATTTCTTAGGTCAAGATCACCATTGTCTTTCACATGGGTTATTACTAACAGCCTTCTAGCTGGTCTCTCTACTTCAATTCTGCATTCCTTGAATCCAGTCTCTGTAATGTGGTTTTAGTAACTAAAAAAAAAAAAGCAATCCTGATCCATTCCCCCTCTTAACTGTTTCTCATTTACTCTAAGGATAAAGTAAAAACTTCTTAACAAGCCTTATAAGGCTTGATGTGATCTAGTTCCTGTACCTCTCTAATGCATGTGTGCCTCTATCTCCCACTTATTTCTTTCAAATTTAGTCATTCCGTTTCTTTCATTTGCTGAAAATACTGTTCTGTCTGCCTGGGAGGCACTCGTACTGTCCCTGACTCCTCCGACCCACTAAATGCACACGTGTGCACGTGCACACTTGCGCATACAGGTTCATGCACACCATCTGGCTTGGGTGTCACAAAGAAAGACTCTCATGCCCCCCTGCTCCAAAGTCTGGAATAGGTCTCCACCAACACGTTCCCATAGCACTGTGATAGTCTCATGACACTCCCCCAAGAAAGCACTCATTGCACTATGAATGGCTTGTTTTCATGGGTATGTGCTCCACTGGATCAAACACAGATATGAGCAGGATGGACACTAAGGCTGCTCACCGTTCTATCACCACCACCTAGAACATTTTCTGACTCATGGAAGTACGGTAATAAATATTTAAGAAATAAATGCATAAGATGTTATTGGATCTGTATTATTGGATCTGTAGTATAGACAAAGAAACTCAAATGGGTTAAGTAATCTGCCCAAGATCAACTTAGATAGATGGCTTTTAAGTGAAGCCCTGGTGGCACAGTGGTAAAGAGCTCAGGCTGCTAGCCAAAAGGTGGGCAGCTCGAATCCACCAGTCGCTGCTTGGAAACCCCATGGAGAAGTTCTTGCTATTGAATAAATAAGGAGCCCTGGTGGTGCAGTAGTTAAGTGCTCAGCTGCTAACCCAAAGGTCGACAATTCGAATCCACCAGCTGCTCTGCAG